TAGGCCAGTTACTTAACCTCATTGAGCCTGGGATCTCCAAATAGACAATATTAGTAACACTGTATGTTTTTAATTTTTTTTAAAAGATTAAGCAAGATCATTTTAACCCCATAGAATGATGCCTGACATTACTTAGTACTTAAATGGTCATTTCCTTTACGCCCCCCCCCCCCCCCCAAAGACATAATTATTTTTATTTATCAATGTTGAAGGCGTCCATCATACTTTGTAAATTTGTGTAAGGTATGAAATTGTTAAGGATACTCTCATTCCAGTTGTTGGAGAAATTGTGAATTGCATTTAGCTTGGCACTAAAATACCTTAAGTTGAACCACGACAGCTACTTTGAAATTACATGGTACCCAGCTGGAGAAGCATCCCAAAAGGTAGTTGTCTTAGACACGGCTCTTTTAGATATAAGTTGTGGAATCCTACTTCAAACAGACATTAAGAGAGGGAGAGAGGGATTTTTTTGGCTTGTGTCTTGGAAAATTCCAGCGATGGTGCCAGCCTCAGGCACTGCCCTATCCACATCTTCTCGATCAAACAATATTGTCAGCACTTGGTCTTCTCAGACCATCTTGCAGCGTAGCTGCAACTCCATGTGATTTTTGTTCTCAAGTATATTTACCAGCTATAAATTTTGGGGAAAGAGAACTTAGTTCTAACTAAACTTTAGGTCTAACTAAAATTCTGGATTCAATCTTACTGTTCAGACTTAGGTCACTTGTTCATCCTTGAACCACTTGCTGTCGCCAGGGGACTGGGATATACTGGTTTTCCAGGCCTGGCTTAAGAAATATTTAATTCTATGAAATAACTGGTACTGAGTGCAAGGGAACAGTGGTTCCCAAAGGGAAATCCAATTTCTATTACCAGCATGAAGGGGAGTAGATGTGAAAAAGGCAAAACAATATCATCTTACTGGATAGAAAAATGCCTTTTCAAACTGTGCTGCTGGGAACTCTAGAGGTCCCACTGAGATACTCAAACAAGTTGAAGGGAAGAAGAGAGGACACAGAGTTGGAAGTTCCCTGATCCATGCTCACTCTAGCTTCACCAAGAGTGACTTCACTTTTATACATTTTGTATACCCAATTTCTGGTTAAGATTTCATTTGAAAACGGAATTTTGGCAATAGTATTGGTATAGGACAATTTAGCAGATGGTTAGCCCCGTAAAGTATAAAAGGGTAACCATCTTTTCCCACTCTATCCTGCTGAGCAAGTTCTTGCCCTTCCTTTCCTTTCTCCTCGTTGGCCCTACCCGATTCCTAACTCTGCTAAGATCCAGACTTGAATCCTCCAGGCAGGCGGACAGGAAGATCATGACATTAGGCAGAAGTCTAGTTCTCAGTTTACCAGTATCATGACACAAAAAAATCATCACTTACCCTTTGTTCACCAAAGAGATAGCCCCAAAAGTTGTCAACAACTTGGTGACTCAGTATGATCCAGCAATTATAAAGCAGAAAATTTGGGTACATTCAAGAAATTTGATAGATCATAATCTTTGATGATATGTTTATGCTGAAACTTGCAGTTGACATCGGCAAGCTGGGCAGTTTAATATTTTCCAAGCCTTCATCTTACGGCTCATCTCTCGGGTAATTGCTGCTTAAATCACACTCTTAGGGCTTTTTCCTTTTCTACTACTGGCTTTCTTTAAATATCCAACCCTTCCATCCTTCATATCAGAGCCCACATGTGGCCAGGTGCTTATTTGTGTAAATAAAGTTTTATTAGAACACAGACATGCCCATTGGTTTAAGTCTTATCTGCTTTCCCTCTACAGTTGTCCTCACTTATCCATGGGGGATATATTCCAAGACCCCCAGTGGGTGCCTGAAACTGCAGGTAGTACCACAACCTTTGTATACTATGTTTTTCCCAAATATACATACCTATGATAAAGTTTATAAATTAGGCACAGTAAAAGATTAATAACAACTAGTAATAAAATAGAATAATTATTACAATATATTGTAATAAAAGTTACCATAGATCTTAGCAACCTCAGCATATGATTTATTTTCTTTCCTTATTAAGTTGAGAACTTTTACCTTTTCACTGAAAGGAAGCACTTTTCGGCTTCTCTTTGGCATATCTGAATTGTCAGCGTCACTACTCTTGCGCTTTGGTGCTAGTAAGTAAAATAAGGGTTGCTTGAACACAAGCGCTGCGATACCATGACAGTCAATCTGATAACCAAGATGGCTCTTACGTGACTAATGGGCAGATAGTGGACATGCTGGACAAGGGGGTGATTCACGTCCTGGGGGGACAGAGTGGAGAGTGCACAATTTCATCACACTACTCAGAACGGCGCTCACTTTAAAACTTATGAATTGTTTATTTCTGGAATTTTCCGTTTAATATTTTCGGACTTTGGTTGACCACGAGTAATAGAAACCATGGAAAGTGAAACCACAGATGGGGCAGGGAAACTACTATGTAATAGCAGAAGTGAGTAGTTGTGAAAGAGAACGTATGGCCCAAAAGCCTAAAATATTTACTATCTGGCCCTTTACAGAAAAAATTGTTGACCTCCGCTGTATATTTGTATGTCTTATAACAGTATTGCAACTTCTTGACATGTAGGGTACTTATGAAGAAGAATCAGGTAACGTCCTTACAATACTCTCACTCTCTTATGTTCTCAAAAGCATGTCTAGGGAAATATTTTTGCCTCACCTATTTGACCTGTGGTCTTTCAACTCTCTGAACAACTTCTCTTTGTTTCTGTACCCCCAACAGTTCAGTCCTCTTCATCTTCCAAAAGTACCAGCCCTTTGTAGGGAGTGGGAGGAGAGGAGTGACAGCTTTCCACCTGGCCCTGGAACACATTGGTACACACACCTGCATATGCTTAATGCATAGATACAGGGTCCAAACACATGGACAAACATCACAATTTGGTGCATTTTGTTTCCCCCCTACTGAACCCTCTTGATTTCATATTTGTTGTGGTCATAGCAGTGTATTTTGTGAAGAAGCGTTTGATATGGGCCGGGAGGGTTGATGGAGGAAAATGGAGGAGGAGCAGATGTCTTCCGGTCTGGTCACTGGATTCTGTAAGCGCAGCAGCCACTCATCAGAAGGCTGAGTAGTTAAGCTGTACTTGAAGAACCGGGATAATAATGCCTCTTTGCTGCATTTTTGCAGTCTAAATGCCCTGTGGAGTGAGAGAAGACTTCAATCCCTAGGCTTGTGAATCCCTTATCTTTCCCAAACGTTAAATTAATTTTTAAGGCTATTTATTCAAAGTTGACTTAACCACTAGAATAGGAAAGATCAGACAAATCAGCTGCACGAAATGAAGTATGAGGAAACCCGAACTCTTTGACAAAGTATTCCTGGGAGTAAATGTGTTGAATGAAGCCAGCGGGTAAATGATAAGGGCCTTTACACTGTGGATGTAAGAAAGCAATTTATCAAGAGTACATGAACTCTCTAGTGACCACAAGTCAGGAAGAAACGAGAGTGGAGGAGGAGCCCTGAAAAAATACATTTGAAATACTAAAAATCGTGTGTGTGTGCGTGCACTTTTAAATACTGGCATTAATATGCAGAAATACTGGTATATTAAAATAAGAGTCGCTCAGAGTGCACATGTACAGTAGTCTATACTGTCGTGGGATTAGGTTTTAGGAAGAGTGGTTGAGAAAGGCCAGGCAGTGGTTTAGGACTTGCAGAAACCTGGGGTACGCTCAGGTCTAGTTACAATTTGAGCCCGATGGTGATTGTCTTATGTTTATTTGCCTGACTCATGAGATTAGATGACTGTCTTTCAAGCTCACATGTTTATCTGTTTTAATCTCTAGAAGGTCATATGCATGTAATTCTGACAGCTGATCTAGTGCTTTTGTGTTCTCTCAAGGAGTTCAAAGCTCATCAATCTTTTCAGCATCTCTTTGAGCCCTCTAAATGAGACAATATTATCTTAATTGTTCACTTTAGAGAAACCAAGGAAAATTGTAGTTACATTATCTGCAGTAGGGTTCCCACAAACTTAGATAAGGGTGAGGACTAGAATTTTTGACCTTATCTTGGCTTTTAGATCTAGGGGAGAGATATAATTTCTTAGATTTGAGGAGAAAAAGACCTAATTGTTGAAATATTTCGTTTCATTGAAAGTATTTACTCTGAGAATGGTCATCCTCAGTTTTCTCTACCGAAATAACACAATTAGCTCTCAAACTTTGATTTTAGTCATTTTTTTCTTTTTTCATCTGACACTAAACTATTGTCAGAGCTATTAACAAAGTACTAGATTGTGACTTGAAGGTCTTTTTCTTTTGTTTCTCCTGGATAATTTTTAGAGAACATGTCACTGAACACTAAACTATCTGACACATGAACAGCAGGTGGAAAATTGGGAGAACTAAGTCTTGGGACAATCACCCTTAGCTAATTTAACTGGATTTAAATTACTAGCCCTCCACACAGATGTCAGCTTTCTTTATTCCCTCTAAATTAGCCCCTTTACCCCTGTGGTCTAAAGAACTCGCTCCTCTTCCTCTTTAAACCATTCCGGTGTTGTAAGGGGTGAATCTTACTGAGAGAAGTGGTATTGGTTGGGCCTGGTCTTATGGCATGAGTTGGGAATTGTTTGTTCTTTGCTTGGGGGAGGGGGACACCATGGTAACTTGAGTTGAGCCGTAGTTCAATTAGCAAATTAATTAGGTTTTTAGAGCCAACCACAGTCATTTAGAAATTTCCTCCGTGGCTCTCTTTCTGAAAGTTGAATGTGTTTTGTATTTGCTGTCGTCTGCAGTTTATAAATCCACGCAAAAAAATAAATAAAATAAAAGGCAAAGCAGGAGGAGGTGGGAAGAGAACGATTCACATTGCAAAATCTTGCTTAAACATATGTGCATGTCGTCCATCTGTAGAAATGGAACCTTGTTAACTTCCAGTAACTTGTTTCTACTTTCTCTGTCCTCTCCCTTTCTCTCTTTATTCCTACCCACCTCCGGAACTTTGGTGGGACCTCTACAGCCTTGGATAAGCTCAGCACACAGCACCTGTACCACCCCACCCAGGTGGAGATTGTGCAGTCCAACGTGGTGTTCGACATCAGCAGCCTGATGCTCTACGGGACACAAGCGGTACCCGTGCGGCTAAAGATCCTGTTGGACCGTCTCTTCAGTGTCCTGAAGCAAGAGGAGGTGCTGCACATCCTGCACGGCCTGGGCTGGACTCTGCGGGACTACGTCCGGGGGTACATCCTTCAGGTAGGGGGAGGATGTTGAAGCTGGCGTCTGGGGCCAGCTCTGGGAGGGGTTGGGTGAGAGCCCTTGGCGAACCTGGTCTCCTTCCTGCCCCTCGCAGGCCTAGGCATGCACACCCTCTTCTGGTTAAAATGGTTCTTTTGGCAGGCTTGTCAGGGTGTTGGAAAAAAGGAGCGATGTCCCAACAGTCTGGCATTAGGCCTCAGTGGTGTATATTAGTTGGCAGAAGCGACCTATTGCCTAGTGTTGCTTCATTTGCATCTTTTTCAGTTCAACTCTCTCTCTCTACAACATGGGCTTTCTGGCTTCTTCAACAAGTGTTATTGAAGCCCTGCTAAAAGGATGGGCTCTTTGAGGTGGGTGATGGGTGTGTGGAAATCTCAGATTACACTTCATCTGGGTTTAGCCGGGCTTGTTCTCACACTTAATTTGTAGGTTTGGTGTTTCCTTGGTTGTCTGTGTACCCTATTTATTACCTCTTGATCCAAGTCAAAGGAGGAACTGTAACCTCTGTAAAGCCCCTGCTTTCATAACCAGTCAACCCGCACATTCCAAATCCAGCAGACATGGGGATAGACTTGGCCTTCACAGCACCTGTTCTTCCAGCCTTGAGCCCCTTCTTTGTGTCAGTGGCACTTCTGATCTGATAAGGGTCTTAAGAGGGAGGCCCACAGCCTCCAGTCCCACCCACCCGACATCTTTCCCTTTTCCCATCATTTTTTGCAGTGTGTCGCTAGTTGTTTGCATTGTGTGCTTGGCCTCTGAAATGTTTTTATGGCCATCTGTCTTCCTACGACCCTTGAAGGGTAAATGTTGAAAACAACATGTTTGGGAGACCCCAGGATCCAAAAAGACTACACTGGACGATGAAGAAGTACTCCCTCCTGCCAGAGGAGATCACAGTTTGGGAAGGTAGAATCTGAAGTGGGTTTTGAAATTTCCTATGGGGATAATACCAGGAGAAATGACCCCTTCAAAGAAAAATTGATTTTGGCTCTGCCAGCCTTTTTTATTCCCCGATCCACCCTGTGTTGTGTGTGAGGCCTTGGCTGCCAGCTTGGTATGTGGTGAGTGGGGGCCCTCCAGTCTCCTTCTCATTTTAACTTGGCATACAAACACACACATTCCTGTCATTCTCCTGTGTGGTACCTCCAGGTGTTAGCCAGGGCAGGAGAGCAGAGGAGGGATGATGAGTGGACGTAGAGAAAGAGAGGAGGTGGGAATAACCTGTCTGCTCCCGTGGCTGCTTTAGTTAGTGTAGAATCATGGCTTAGTTCAGTGAGATGTCAACTTGGAAGGCACAGAAAATTTGGCCTTCAGAAGATGAGATGATGATGATGATAAGAGTGATAATTATACATTACGTTTTTAGTTTCTAGAAGACTTGCACAAGCATTATCTCATTTGCCTCAGGATGGGGACATTTCAGTGTGGGGAGTGAAAAGTTGAGTCCTGGGTGGTCAGGGGACTTATGGGGGCACAAGGCCCAGGAGAAATAGGCCAGGAAAAATAAAACATGGAATTCCAGTTTCATAATCCCTGCTAATACTGGCCTGGAGATGCATCAGTGCCACATTTCTCTGCAGTGGTTTCCACGACTTGATTATTAATGTCCTTTTTGGGTGGAGTTTACCCTACAGGAAGGAACAAACCTCTTGCAGTTTTTTGAATGGAACTGTTAGCTTGGCTAAGCACTCTTTCCTTTATTCAAAACCTAAAGTATTACGCCCCCATCTGGTCCCATCTTTACTGCCTCTACTGTGATGCTTACTTCTGTCATCAATGCTGTATTTCACTTCCATGTATATATTTTTCCCTGAGATATCTGGAGTGTATGAATGGTCTCTTTCTGTCCAAACAAATAGGTAATGTGCATGACTATGACTATTTGCCATCTCAGCAGGCCAGTTGACTGTGGTGTTTTGATGGCCGTAAATATAGAACCTGCCGGTTGTTCTGTGGTGTGGTCTTAATGTTCTGTCTTGACCAGAACCTGTTCTTTGTTTTACTTGAAATTATTATTTAGGTGTTAATTTTTCCCCAGCATTTCAAGATATCTCTAAGGCAATCATAGAAGATGTACTCCATATTTCTTTTTCTATGAGGGCCTAGGATTTAAAGATGCAAAATTGCAAGAGAAATTAAGTATGAGAGGAAAATTAAGCAAAATCACAAACTAGCATTTACAGAGTCTCTTATTTGGGGGTGAAGTATTGCATATAAAGGATGCTGTCCTTTATTGTGATACTTAAGTTATAAATAATTTTCATTAATTTAATATAGGTTTTGACAAAGTCTCAAGTTTAATATGATCTATTTCTCCATTTGGTGTCTAGAATTGGTATTTTGAGAAAATCATAGATGATTTTTACGTTAGAGGAACACTAGGTTTAGTTTGTCTTGTTTTATTGATAGAGTTGATGTAACATAGATTTTATTTAAATGACGCTTTTTGTCATTCAGTAGTTCTCATCCGCTTGTTCCTTGTGAAAACAGTTCTCAGTTTAGAAAAAAAGCAAGAGGTTGAAGGACAAAAACTTATCACTTATATAGTGAGAAAATGCTCGTTTTGTTTAAAGAAAAAACACACACCCAAAAAACAAGAGCTTAGACCATAGAAATAAACCTTTTTCCTTTAAAGCAATGTGATTTGATTATCAGCCAATATTCTAAAAATTACATGTCGTAATGGTAAGGTATGCACCAATGACTTTGAATATAATTATATATAACATTGTCATACAAGTAGACTATAAAATGTGCGTCCAAAGGTTGTGGAACCCTATAATGCACTATTAGTGTACAAGTCATTTTATCTGGCTAAAACTCAATTGTCTTGTAGCCCTCAAGGCATCAATTTTAGCATTATTGCTCTCAACAACAGTCTATTGAATATTATGTCAGTTAAAGGAGAATAATTATCAAGGCAAGTTAGGGTGGCTGTTAGTCTTACCACATATTGACTTGGTTAGCAGTTGGCTATAGATTGTGTTACTGGGCAAATGAAGATGTACGGTAAGTTGAACTGGTGAAGCCAGGATATTAATTTAACTCTCTGGGCTCAAACCTACATCCCTTATGGATACACAGCTATTCTTAGTTTCAGAGAGAGTTTTGAATGTGGAAGAATAGCGGATGTCTGATCTGATTTTGAATTTTTGCATGTGGGGGAAAAGGGGAGCAGGCCATGCAAAACTGTCCTTTGCAAGCATGTATGAAAAGGTTATTAAAAGAAAAAGAGAGGATAGTGATGCCACAGAGTCATTTAAAAGACTAACAATGTCTTTCAAGAATCCTGTGCCATTTTGATAAAAATTACTTTTCACTTGTGTAGTTACCTGTGTAATCCATAAGCTAACCAGCTGGGTATAAAACGTACAGTATGACTTGGACTACAAAGATTTAAGAATCCAGGTAATATCATAAAGGTAAAGAACCCAGTATTCTCTTTTGTACCAATTAAAGTGTTCATTCAGAGAGTACAGAAAAAGTAAGGTAAATTTTATGTATTTTTCAAAAAAGCAGAAAAAGGAAATATGCAAGTAGATGGTAAAATCTAAATATAAAGGAACATAATATGTTTTTGCTGCTGCTGAAGGGTAATTTTTATTTCAAATCTGTATCTCATAGTACATTTATTGGCAGTGAATAACAGCAATGTCCTGTTCTTTCCCCATTTCCCCTGTCTTTGACCTAGCATATAAGAATATAGGTAATTATCATGTTGAATTTAATCATTTAAAAATCAAGTTTTCACACAGTCTCTTTTCAGTTTGAATGTGTAACTGACTTGCCTGGGCTCCTATAACCACCAGTCCATCTGTGGAAATCTCCTCCTTTGCAAATGAGTCTGCCAGAATTCAGAGAAACATATCAGACACTCTGAATAATTAGCTGAGGTGTCAGCAGCCTTGTGAGAGGACAAGTAGTGATGCGCATTTCAAGTCACCTGTGGCTTGAAACACTCAGAACTAAAAGAACAACCAACACTTTAGAAGAACATTTCCCAGAGTATTCGGGGGGCATTAGTCTTCCGGAGGTCCGTCTTTAGATTTGGGAGGAACCATACTCTGGGTCCTTCTCTTAAGGCCTCAAGATACATCTTAGCGTAATGAAGGTTCCGTGGAGTTCTGGCGTAAGTGGTTTGTGAGAGTAGGTAAGTAGCTTCACCAGCCCTTCCCAAGTCATAGCCTTTTCCTATCAAGCTCATCACAAGCCTTCAATTCCTGAACACACTCAACTCCTCTTCACCCTGGGGCATTTGCATGGATAGATTCTTCTCCCTGGACTCTCCTACTCTCTGCGTGGGCACTTTCTTGTCCTTTAGGTGTCAGCCAAAGTCCCACTTTTTCACAGGGACCTTTTCTGTCCAGCTTAACCAATGTAGGTTTTTCTCATGTGGCTCTATCTCAGGACTCTGTTTCCCTCAAGCTTCAATCCAATTTAAAATCAATCAGTTAATTAAAGCAACTGTTAAAATGGTTTTTTCCTGGCTTCCTCACTAGCGAACACCACAAAGGCAGGGTACTCAATAATATCTGTTAAATGAATGGGTAAAGAAACCTGCTAAAATGTTTGCCATTGACCTCATGGAATATCCAGTAACTTCACTTGGTCCGCGAGTCCTTAGTCTTTCTTCAGGCTTCCTAGGGACTGAAGGCTGTAACAGCAGCTGGGCTACTGAGGGCAGTAAGAAGAGAAGCGAAGGCTCCACACCCCCTAGCAGTGGTCTGTGTAGAATAAGTGTTTTGTGGTATCCATGTGGTAGAAAACGTCAATATTGGGCAAACGCTTGTATTTAAACAGCCCTTTGTGGAGCAAGTTCCCATACGTTAGCTCTTGGAATCCTCTCATACCATCCTCTGGTAGCTGTTGCCCGTGAATTAACATTGGGAGTAGTTGAAGCTCAAAGAGGTTAAGTGACTTTCCCATGATCACAGAAGCTGTTAATTGGCACAGTTGATGCACCGTAAGCTTCCTGAGGATAAGAACCACTTAACCTC